ATTCCGCCCATGCACGAATTTGTGCACTGGGCCCCTAGTGTTATATATTTACCCTGTAGTTATTTCCAGTGCTTTTCATTGTATAGATCCAGATTCCCTTCTGATATCATTTTCCTTTTGCTTGAAGTACTTACTTTAACTTTTTTCATAGTAAGGGTCTGCAGATGAATCTATCAGTTATACGTGGAAGCATTTTTACTTGGTCCTCATTTAAAAATATTTTTGACAGATATTCCCTAGCTGGTTTGGCTCAGTGGATAGAGAATCAGCCACGAACTGAAGGGTCCTGGGTTTAATTCCTGTCAAAGGCACGAGCTTCGGTTGCAGGCTCGATCCTTGGCTTTGGTCCAAGCATGTGCAGGAAGCATCCAATTGATGTGTCTCTCTCACATTGATGTTTCTCTCTCTGTGTCTCTTCCCCTCTCTCCTCCCGCCCCTCTCAAAAAAAAAAAAAAAAAAAAAAGAGTCAATGGAAAAATATCCTTGGGTGAGGGTTAATAACAACAACAAATACATATTTTTGACAGCTATAGAACTATAGGTTGATAGGTTTCTTTTTCTTTCAATACATTTAATATATGCTAGTGTCTTCTTGCTTGTAATGTTTCTAATGAGAAATATGATGTCACCCTTAGTTTTGTTCCAATGTAATGTTTTTACTCTCTGGCTGCTTTTAAGATTTTTTTCTTTATCATTGGTTCTAAGCAATTTGACTATTATGTGTGTACGTTATGCTGTTGAGTTGGCCCCAACTCTTGGTGACCAGATGAATGAGTGATGTCCACAATGCCCTATTCTCAACAATGCTGCTCAGTTCCTGTAGACCGGTGCCTATGGCTTCTTTTATGGAGTCAATCCATCTCATATTTCACTTCATGTTGTGGTCATTTTTTCCTACTGCCTTTTAGATTATTATATACCTTGATGTAATGTTCTTTGTGTTTCTTGTGTTTGGGTTCTATTGAGTTTCTAGAAGGCAGGGTTGTGGGTAAAGATGCTGTGAGGAGATTGACTTACTGATGGGAGTTTATGGAAGTTTTCTTCAGATTGATTCAATGTTGTCAGTGGAGTAGGAAGCAAGGCTGCTGGCTGAAACTAAGAGATTTGGGCATGAGAGAAGGTACAAAGTTGTCATGTAGGAGGTTAGAAGAATCAAAGGAGCAGGGAACTGTAATATAGTCTTCAGGCATCTTTAAGGGTTTAACTAAAATTAATAATCATAAAGTCTGCTTGGTTAGTTGTTTTTCTCTTCCCAGTTTCAGCTGCAAGGGTGCAGATGTTACAGTAACTCAGAGTGGGCCAGGGAGTTGAGAGTGTATGCAGGGAATGATTATATTGATCAATCACTGGATATATCTACATCAATCTTCCTTAAACAGGGTGGAAGCTATTAGAAGGCAGTTTTTTTGTTTGTTGTTTTCTTTTTTTTTAATATGTTTTATTGATTTTCTACAGAGAGGAAGGGAGAGGGATAGAGAGTTAGAAACATCGATGAGAGAGAAACACGGATCAGCTGCCTCCTGCACGCCCCCCACTGGGGATGTGCCCACAACCAAGGTACATGCTCTTGACTGGAATCAAACCTGGGACCCTTGAGTCCACAGGCCAACGCTCTACCCACTGAGCCAAACTGGTTCTGGCTGTTTGTTGTTTTCTTTTATTTTTTTGTTTTTGCATCTAGGTGTTGAATACGAATTTGCTGATCCATGTATGGGTGTTGTGTTAGTAGTAGAAAACCAGGGGTTAAAGGAAGTTGTCTTTTGGAGCAAATTAACTCCGTTTTTGTTGACTGCTTTGTAAAGTCCTTCACATGGCCTACTCAGCTCCACCTGTTCCGGCTCCAGACCATTAGGGCAGGTACCTCATACCAAGCGCCCACAGTTCTCTGAACTCCAAATATACTGGACTTTCCCCCAACTTTTGCATTTGGCACACATGTGGCTCCCTCTGCTTTTCAGCTTTCTGAGTAATTAAAACATTCCTATAAGCTTAGTATTTATTTAGTATGCCTACTTCTTAGCACTTGTCACAGTTTTAATTTTACATTTGTGCCATTGATAGCTGTTTGCTAATATGCTGAAGCTTCCTGTGAACAAGACCTGGCCTGTTTTTAGGCCCTGCTGAACCTAGCATAGGCTCTGGCACACTGGTAATAAACATTTATAAGTAAGTAGAGGTGAAAGCAAGTGTGATGTGTGAATCTTGGTGTGGAGAGCATCATCTTCCTTTTAGGGAATTCAGAGACTTCACAAGAAACTTGCTAATGCTACATGCCAACCTCCAAAGCTTGGCCTGGAATCTCGTAGGGCAGTGGTTTTCAACCTTTCTAATACCGGGACCCTTTAATTCAGTTCCTCATGTTGTGGTGACCCCCAATTTCATTGTTACAAATTGAATATAATTAAAGCATAGTGATTAATCACAAAACAATTGTAATTATATATGTGTTTTCCAATGGTCTTAGGCGACCCCTGTGAAAGGGTCATTGGACCCCCAAAGGGGTCGCGACCCACAGGTTGAGAACCGCTGGCGTAGAGAGCATTTGGGACGAAGGTAGGGCGCACAAGAACCTTTTATTCCCACAGTCCCTGTGGGCGGCGCCTGCGTACTGGCCTCGCCGGATATCCGCAAGGAGTAGGACGGGGCTCCCGTAACCTAGGCAACAACCCGGAAGCGGCGGGCTGCGTTTACCTGTGGCGGGCCGGGCGGTTCTGGTGCCTGAAGTTTTTGATGGTGGAAAGCGGCGGTCCGGAACGGCCAGGCAGGTTGAGGTGACGGGGCGGAGTCCTGCAGGCTTCAGCCCCACCGAGTCGTAGGGACCCGGCTACAGTGCGCGGTGGGGGCGCCTTTCGGTTCCCTGGGGACCCCGGCGCCTGGGTAGAGGATCTGGCGACGGGAAGCGCACCCGCGACTCTGCGTGCGTTGAGAGAGTGTGTGCGTTTCTGGGTGTGTGTCCGGGCGGGTTTGCGTCTCGCGCGCGCCCTCCCAGAGCCCCCCGAGCGCGCGCGCTCCGCTTTCGGACATTTGTGCACCGAGCTAGAAACTGGGGGGGCCCTCCTGGGTGGCTTTCGAGGGGTTTACGGTCCAGCGGGAGAAACAGTGCCCGGCGCACTCGGGGACCCGGAGGGTTCCTCCAGTCGGTGGGATGGCCAGGAAAGGGCTTGTCCGGAGGGGCCGCCGGAATGGGGTTTGGGGGCCGAGTGGGCGTTCACCCCGTGGAGCAGGGCATGAAAGTTTGAAGGGAGTTCCAGACAGGGCGTGAAGAATGGGTAGAGCTCTCTGTGGCAGCCAGAGCTTTGTTTTAGGATGTGGGGGAGACTTGGGAGGAGGGAAAGCTGGAGAGGTCAGCCTGGCCGCACGGGGAGGGAGCGGTGGGGTGGGGGAGAGGGTCTGGGTGCCAGGCTGTGTTGGATTCCTCTGCAGGGAGGGCTGGGGGAGGCGAGGCGTTTGAGCTGTACTCTGGTCTTTCGTCTGGGGGACAGTGTTTGGAAAGATGTCTCCTTTTTCCTTTGATCAGTTTTCCACCAGCCAGGGTGGATTTGCTTAAAATCCTTGAGGGGCTTCCCGGATGTCTTTAGGATGGTGTTCACGTTGCTGTGGCTCACAAGTCCGCGCTCTGGTCTCTGCCTTTCTTTTCATTGTCTTTCTAGCCTTTCACCGTCGAAAATCTTTGTTGGTAAAACCGAACTTCTCACACCCTTTGTAAACGCCCCGCTTCCCCAGCACGCTTTCTCCCTCTTCTAACTTTTATTCATTAACTGGAGCCCTCAGCTTAAACATTTGTGGGGGAATTCGAGGGAAGAGGCAGGCGTTTCTTACTACACAGAGTGAGGTGTTTCCACGACACTGAATTTACTTGGCACAATTCTCTCTTATTACAATTACTCATTTAATTGTGGTCTGATAAACTCTAAGCTCTGTGAGGGTGCAGACTACTCCATTTTCTTGCAGTTTCTGTACCTGGCTCTTGCATGTGCTTTCAAAATATTTGTTGAAATAACATGTGGATGATGAAGTGAGTGAGTGAATTAGTGTAAGGAAGATCAATTAGGAGAAATAACGAGAGTCCAGACAAATCATTTATGGTAGAGATGAAGAGGAGGGGACAAAGAAGGGAGGTATTTCAGGGAAAGAATAAATTCTGGCATCTGATTGACTGTGAGACACGAAGAGAAGGTGATGCTAAGGCTTTAAATTGGAACACCTAGAAGGATGGTAATTCTGTAGGTTGAGGTGACTCAGCATTTACTGAGCAAGCCAGTCAGATATCAAGAACTAGAGGTTGGCAGTGTGTATGTGTGTATGTGTGTGTGTGTGTGGGGGGGGGCGCATGGGGAGTAAGCTGTATTTGGACTCTACTGTATCTGAGATATGTGTACAAAAGGCAGTTGGAAATGAACATTTGGTGTTTTGCAGAAAGGTGTGGATTCTTGATTTGTGATTTATTTCATTTCACAGTGTGTGTGTGTGTGTCCAGTGTATTCATAACTTTGCTGAGGGGAGTGGGAGAGATCAGTGGGGGAAGATGTGAACTCCCCCTTGGTGATCTAGAAACTCAGCTCCCTGGGAGCCAGCACCTCATTAGATTTGTTTACTGTGGTATCTCCAGTGTCCTGCCAGTGCCTGGTATGTGGTAGACTCTCAAAAACAGTTAATGGGATGAAGAGAGATGGTCTCCAGTGGGAAGACAAGAGGACTGAGGTAGAACTGGGTAAAGATCTTGATTATGTGGCATGTGAGGAGGGGCCAACAGAGCCCGCAAAGAAATGGAGAAAAGAATAGGAGAGAAACCAGGAGAAAGTATTGTGGGAGCCAAGGGAGGGGGGTCTTCCAGGAGTGGGAGCCTGCAGAGCTGGAAAGGCCTGAGAAATAAGAAGAGCCCAATGGTTTTAGCAATTAGAAAGGGTCCAATATTTTTAGTAATTAGGAAGCTATTGGTATTTTAGGTTTTCTAGGCTGTGCTAATTATTTGACTCCTTAGCACCACAAAGTCTGTTCCTTGGTTGAGAAAAATGTGGTCACCGTTATTGGTGATGTTCAAGAGGACACTTTTCAGTGCAAAGATGGTTCCTGTGTTGCAAAAGTTTTGAAGTGTAACTGGAGCTCAGTGACTAGAAGTGCTGAAATATGCCTCTCCTTCATGAAGGTTAGTGAAAGGAAGTCCAGAGGAGGGATAGCTTGGTTACACCTTTGATTTTACCATACAGAGGCTGGAATTTAGAGCTGGCCAGTATGTTAGTTTTCTATGCTGTATAACAAATGACCACAAACTTACAACAGTATATAAGTATTTCTCTCTTTACCACGACCAGCATGGCTAGAGAGCGGACACGAGTCCTGAGTAGGGGCGGCGGGGGATCGGGAAAATGAAAGAGATAGACACAGAGACAGTAGGGAAAGCTGGGACAGGGTGGGACAGCTGGCCCTCTGATGAAGAGACAGTGACCCAGAGCTGGGGCAGCGCCTTTTATTTTATGTAGTATGATTCCAGGAAGTTTTACTAGAGTTTAAGACAAAGGAAATTATGGGAAATCATGGTTAAAGATCAAGCTGCAATTCTTCATTCTTGTAGCTTCTTTGTAATTGTCACTCCTGGCTGAGCCTGGATAATTGCATCTGTTACTTGCACCTGGCTGAACTTAAATAATGAAACCCACCCCTGGCACCTGAGCTAAAATAAAGGTCAGGCTGACAACATACCTGCCTCTGGCACGGTATGTTTCCAGGACATGGCTCTGCCAACGCCACTGGACTCAGCTGACAATAATCAAAGAAATGCTCATGTGCCTTCCCAGGCACTTTCTACAACAGTATTCATTTATTATCTCACAACTTCTGTGGGTCAGGGGTTTGGACATGGTTTAACTGGAGACTGTAGGGTCTCAAAGTTGTGATTGAAGTATTGGTGGTCTACATTCTCCTCTGGAGGCTCAGCTTGGGAAAAATCTGCTGCCAGGTTCACCTCACTCAGGTTGTTGGCAGAATTCATTTCCCTGCGGCTGTATGACTGAAAGGTCTTGGCTTCTTACTACCTTTCTGCTGGAGGCTGCCCACAGTTTGAGTTTCCTGCTCCAGGCCATTTTCATGGGCAGTCACAACACGGCAGTTTGCTCTTTCTCCTAAGACAGAGTATGATACAGGGGTTGCCAAAAGCAGGTTTACAGTAGTAAGTATGTGAGTTTATTCTGTATTATTATTTATTAATTATTATATTCTTTTCCATACAAACAACTATAAACCTACTTTTGCCCATCCCTGTATGAGGATTCCAATTTTTCCATATTCTTGCCAAAGCTTGTTATTTCCATCTTTTTTATAACCATCCTACCAGGTGTGAGGTCTCATTTCCCTATTGACTAATTATGTTGGACATCTTTTCAAGTGCATATTGACCATTTGTCTCATTTCCCTATTGACTAATTATGTTGGACATCTTTTCATGTGCATATTGACCCTTAGACATTTAAAAAAATGGATTATTTGTTTTTATTGTTGACTTTTAAGAGTTCTTTATATATTCTGAATGCACATTCCTTATGAGATTTATGATTTGAAAATATTTTCTTCCACTCTTTTCAATTCCTTAATGATGTTCTTTGAAACACAACAGTTTTTAATTTTGATATAGTCCAGTTAATTTTTTTCTTGGTTGCTTGTGCTTTTAGTGCCAAATCTAAGAAACCATTTCTTAATCTACTAGTAAGGTTCATTAAGATTTGAACTTATATTTTCTTCTAGGTGTTTTTTACTTTTAGCTTTTTTTTTAAAAAAATATTATTTTATTGAGTTTTTACAGAGAGGAAGGGAGTGGGATAGAGAGTTAGAAACATCGATGAGAGAGAAACATCGATCAGCTGCCTCCTGCACACCCTTTACTAAAAATGTGCCCGCAACCAAGGTACATGCCCTTGACCGGAATTGAACCTGGGACCCCTCAGTCCGCAGGCTGACGCTCTATCCACTCAGCCAAACCAGCCAGGGCTACTTTTAGCTTTTACATTTAAGTCTGTGGCCCATTTTAAGTAATTTTTATATATGTTGTGAGTTATGGGTTCTACTTCATTTTTTTTTTTTCATGAAGCTATCCAGTTGTTCCAGCACTGTTTACTGAAAAGATTGTTCTTTCCACATTGAATTGTTTCTTGGCACCCTTGTTGAATATAAACTGATCATAAATATAAGGGTTTGTTTGGACTTCTGTTTCATTCTATATCGTTTTAAATTGGTATTTATGGCTCCAACACTTATTGTATCACCTTCATAGTTGGTTAACTCTCTGTCATTTAACTATTACTCTTGTCTTTAAAATGAGTAATAAATAGTAAATACTTCATGGAATTATTGTGAGGATTAAAGGAGATAATATGTGGGAAGAGCTTAGAACAGTGCCTGGGTTGTAGAAAACACTCAATATGTGTTAGCTATTGCCATATTACCACCATCACTGTCATCATGATCACCATAATTACATCATCACTAGCACCATCATAAAACCTAAGTGTTATTTTCTAAGTTGTATGTGATTTATTTTTGGGGTTCAGGTGGAAAGTTCTATGATTATTTAGGTGTATAAAGAAGTTCTAGCCAAAACCGGTTTGGCTCAGTGGATAGAGCGTCGGCCTGCGGACTGAAGGGTCCCAGGTTCGATTCCGGTCAAGGGCATGTACCTGGGTTGCGGGCACATCCCCAGTGGGGGACGTGCAGGAGGCGGCTGATCGATGTTTCTCTCTCATCGATGTTTCTGACTCTCTATCTCTCTCCTTTCCTCTCTGTAAAAAATCAATAAAATATATTTTAAAAAAAAGGAAAAAAAAGAAGTTCTAGACTGGGAGTCATGTTGCTTTTTAAAAAATTATATATATATATATTTCTTTTGCTAGTGTTCAGGGACTGTGAGTCTTTTTAAAATTTTATATAATGTTTAGTCCAGTGTCCTTAGTATTGCTATTTTAAGAGTGCTGAGCAAATGTTGGCCATTTCCAAATTCTAGTTTAGATTAATTACCTCCATTTAGTATTATAGAAATGGTATCATAATTCATTTGTTCTCTAAAGTTTTGCCACCTTTATTTATACTAAGCACATATGTATCTAATAGTGATTTGAGTGTTAAAGTGCTTAATAAAAGAACTCCCTCTCTCTTTTGCCTTCCTCCTCTTGCATTCATACTGTTAGCATGTGACTGACATTTTCTACATTAATTGTGAATTTATATAACTGATGACAAACCTTATTACTACTGTTCTAGCACTCTGCTTTAGGTCATAATATCTGCATTCCTAGATTTTTTTTACTAAGCAAATAGATACAAGCTATTGCTTTGAAATTCTTTTTATTATAGTTAACTATCACAGTTTTCTATTAATTGTGAAGTAAAAGAACCAAGTTTTTTGATAGTTTGTTCCTTTCATTATGCTTAAATTTTTCTTCTGATGTTTTAAAACTTATTTTCCTAGATCTGTTCCCCCTCCACCTCCTCTAGTGATGCTTAATTACTAGTTTCTCTTATATATTAAGAATTTGATATGATTATTACTCCTAGATGTCATTTGTCCGAGTGAACCGTTACAGCTCCCGGGGAGGAGGAAGGAAAGCACTGAAAGTAAAGAAGAAAACGGCAGTGAAGCAAGAATGGGATGTAAGTCTAGGTGGCAGAAGAAGCAATGTAATGTTACTCTGAGGAATAGGTGTGCTGACATGGCCCTAGTCACTCAGAATGGCACTCTGAATCGGGTGCAGCATGTAATAGGGTGGAATAGGTTTCTGGGCATGTTACATTCTAGGTCTTGGCGGGAAGAGCAGAATCCTTTGGGGAGTTTTTTTTAGAATATAGGAGTTGAGGCTGTACCCTCTACTTCTTTTGAAGAACTGTAACCTTAAGAAGTTGGGGAGTATTTTTATGTTTTTATTTTTTTATTTTTTAAAATTGCCTCTACCTCTACTTTAAGAATTCACTGCTTTAAGGCCACTCTAGCTAACCTGTGTCACTGATGTCTGAATTTTGGGGGCAGTTTTTTAGATTTCCCTGTATTAACCAGTGATGCCGTAAGCACATGAGTGGCATTTTTGGCTGAAAAAGTGAGTGATCCATGCTCTCTTACCCCTCAAATTGTTTGTTGCTCATCTCCAGAGGGGGGGTCACTTGCAGTACAAAGCTTCTCTTAAGATATAGAGATAGTCTCAAGTACCTGGGCATGATCCATGGCTTCTACGCTGCATACTGCCTGGTATCACCAAGAGGATTTTTGTCTTTTGTGGCCTGGTACTTGGGTTTGGACTGTGAGACTTTAGGTGCTTTTGCTTCCTGTTGTGGAGAGTAACTCGTCAGGGACTGGTTTGGAAATCAGGGATTCTTTTAGACTTGGAATCTTCTGGGTTGTGAACAACCATTTTAGCCAGTTATCCTGGGCAAACTGGTGGCCTTTGGAAGTGGGACAGGGGTTTCTGTGTTTACATTGCTTTGTTGCCATCTGATTGGCTATAAAATATTTTTTATAAAGGTGTGATTCTAAGGTAATAAAACTGATGAAAAGGAAAAAATTGCACACTTTAATATAAATATTGTCCCCTTCAGAGTGGTTACTTTGGGAAGTTCACTTTTTATTCTGATAGGCTACTATTGTTGAAAATATAATGGAAACCCATCATGTGAAATTACATCAGAACCTTTCCCATTTACTTTTTATTATTTCCAGTGCTGGAAAAATAAGATTTTTGAAGGTAGACTGAACTTGAAAGTCATTTGGAGTGAATGTTAAATGAAGGAGGAGAGATACACTGAATAATGCTCTTTTGATAAAAACAGTGAGATGTTTTTTGAGATGGCTTGTAAATTAGATTTAAAGGCAATTATAAAAGAAAATTGTTTTAAGTTGCAGGAGTATTAATGACATTATATTTTCTCCTACGAGTACTAATTCCAAGCATATCACTTACTTATATGCTAATTCTATTATGATTATTAAAAAAAATCCTCATGATCTTATAGTTGTATCTTGTATGTTTCTAACTCAATATGAAAGGAATAATAGTTTCAGCATAGAAAAGCCTTGAGCTAAATATAAACTACGGCCCAGAAAATTTAAGTCTTTGAATACATCAACAGCTATTTCACCAGACTTAGTTCTCTATAGTTCTCTTAAGAGTAAAACTCTAGCTTGTTTTATGTCCTGCCTTACCATGCCTGTATAACACGATGGCTGAAGTCATTATGGAAAGGCCCAGATTGCAGGACTGCTATTTACAGCTGTCTAGGCTGAGCACTGCACGATTTCACAAGAGTACTATTTACATAGACACGGGTGTTAATGGTCCCTCCCCGAGTTGTGCAGTGTGGTCCCTGCCATGTTGGTTTTGTGCCTTTTTACTTAAGTGACTATTTTCACATTTTATGAAATTATACGAACTCTGTCTCTTATTATGATAGGTTCAATGCTTATGGTGTTTGCATGATCACAAATTGAACCTTTCTATAGTGATCACGGTTTATTTTTTAGGAATTTTTACAAGTGTCTCATTCCATGGAATGCAGTCTGAAAACTACAGCTTTAGCTTATACTTATTTGAATTATATACTACCCTGCTTTATTCATTGTTTTAATATAATGTATATCTGCTTGGTGAATGTAGTCCTTATTTTCTGTAAGATACTTAATTTGCTACAAGATACCTAAAAGTAATCCATATTAATATTTAAATTGAGAATACTGGTTCCTGGAAAGAAAGGCTTTTTGTTTAAATATATTTCTTTATTAATTTCAGAAAGGAAGGGAGAAGGAGAGATAGAAACATCAGTGATGAGAGAATCATTGATCAACTGCCTCCTGCACGCCCCCTACTGGGGATCGAGCCTGCAACCCAGGTATATGCCCTTGGCTGGAATAGAACCTGGGATCCTTCAGTCTGCAGGCTGATGCTTTATCCATTGAGCTAAGCCGGCTAGGGCAAGAAAGACTTTTTGATCCCAGGAATTTGAATTCATTTCCAGACATTAAAACCCAGTACAATCCTAGCTGGTTTGGCTCAGTGGATAGAGCATCAGCCTGCACACCAAAGGGTCCCGGGTTCGCTTCCAGTCAAGGGCACATGCCTTGGTTGCAGGCTCCTCCCCGGCTGGGGCCCTGGTTGGGGTACGTGCAGGAGGCAACCAATTGATGTGTTTCTCTCACATTGATGTTTCTCTGTCTTTCCCTCTCTCATCCACTCTCTAGAAATCAATGGAAAATATCCTCAGGTGAGGATTACCAAAAAAACCCCAAAAAACAAAAACCCAGTACATACATCTAAAGACACACAAACAATATCTGTTAATAGTTATAACTTTCTGAAGAATGTAAAAAAAAACATGGTAAGAAGTTTGAATAACAAAAATCACATTTTTTTTCAATTTAAATAAATACATGTCTTTTATATATTATGTAAAAATATACAATAATTTTATTTCAATTTAAAATAAAAATTTTATCTTGCTAAAATGTGATGACTAACCCCCTTAACTCTTCAAAGAAAGGTTTCTTGGAGAGTAGCATGCTTAATTAAATATAGTCTTTAAAAAATATATACATTTTTATTGATTTCAGAGATGAAGGGAGAAGGAGAGAGAGAGAGATAGAAACATCAATGATGAGAATGCCCCCTGCACACCCTACATTGAGGATTGAGCCTGCAACCTGGTCATGTGCCCAAGCCGGGAATTGAATCATGACCTCCTGGTTCATGGGTTGATACTCAACCACTGAGCCACACCAGCTGGGTGAAATATAGTCTTTTAACTGCGATCCATCTGGCATGTAAAGAAAAAAAGGAAAATCAATGTCATAAAAAAGAAACTAAAACTGATTTCAAAAATTTTTTTAACCTAGTCTAAAGAATAAACTTTAAAACCCTATTAAAAAAATCCAGAAATACTAATATTTTATAGGAAACATTTTTTTTCTTTAAAGGAAGTTTATCTTTTTTTACAGAATACTGTGAATGATCTAACAGTTCATCGGGCAACTCCTGAAGATCTGGTAAGTTTAATATCAAAAGTTAATATTTGTTTAGTGTTTTATTTGATATTTGGTTTCTAACCTTCAGAATAGGAGCCAGAGGTACTTCTCAGAAGTTGTTTTATTTATCTTGCTTATGTCTATATAAAATCAAAAAGCATATCTTCTGGACGTCCTGATTTTACTTAAGAATATCAATTAGCATGTATTACAATTTTCCTAGTTAGATTTCTCCAGGCTAGTATTGCCCTGTATACATCTGTCATCTTTTCCTATCTATAGATATCTTCAGCATTAGTATTTACGATTACTTCCCTGTACAAACATACTGGTCTAGTCAGTGTAGTAATTTATTCCTTGAACAGGCCATTTATATTTCCGTATTTGGGTCCCAATTCTATTTTCCTTACTTGGAACAGTTTCCCTCTTTTCTTCTTTAGCTGCCCAAATCTTCCTTTGGTACCTTATGCTAGTTCAAGTCTTATTTTTTTAAAGTTTCTACTATATATATAGTTTTTAAAAAATAAACAGCTTTATTGAGATATAATTCACACACCATAAAATCCAGCCTCTTAAAGTGTACAGTTTATTTAATTTTTTTAGTATATTCACAGTTACACAACCATCATTACTTTCTAATTATTGAACATTTTCATCACCCAACAAAAGAAACTCTCTACCCATTATTTCCTATGCACTCCCCCACATCTTCTCAATAAATCCTTGGCTTCAACTAATCTACTTTATGTCTCTATGGATTTGACTATTCTGGACATTTGGGTTGTTCTGGACATTCATAATAGTCAAATGGTTGTTTTACCATTATCAGTAATGCTGCTATGAACATTCATGTAAAGTTTTTGTGTGAAAATATGTTCTCAGTTCTCTTGGGTATATACCTGTGAGCAGAATTGCTGCAACTTATGATATCTATATTACTTAACTTCCTGAGTAACTTCCAAACTGTCTTCCAAAGTGGTTGTAATTTATAGTCTCACTAGCATATATGAGGGTTCCAATTTATTCACATTTCTTGTCAATTTGTTATTGTCATCTTTTTGGTTTTCATTCTCCTAGTGGGTATAAAATGTAATCTCTTTGTGGTTTTGGTTTGCATTTCCCTAATGACTAATGCTGTTGAACAGTTGAATACCTTTTGAGCTTTTCATGTGCTTATTGGTCATGATTGGCCATGGTATCTTTGGAGTAATGTCTATTCAGATCTTTTAGTCATTTTATTTTTTTCTGTTTTTATTTTATTTTTTCCATTGCCATTATCTCCTCTATTCCCTCTTCCACTTTAAAAATTGAATTATTTGTGTTTTTAGTGTTGAGTGGTAAGAGTTTTTTAATATATTCTGGACACAAGTTCCTTATGAGATAAATGATTTCAAATATTTTTTTCCATTCTTTTGGTTGTCTTTTCACTTTCTTGATAATGTCCTATAAAGCACAAAAGATTTTAATTTTGATCGAGTGCAATTTATCTAATTTTTGTTACTTGTGCTTTCAGTGTCATATCTAAGAAACCATTATCTAGCCCAAAGTTCAAAGATTTACTCTTATGTTTTCTTCTTTTTTTTCATTGTTTAAAAATTTTTTTTATTGAATTTATTGTAGTGATGACGAACCTATGACACGCGTGTCAGAGGTGACACGTGAACTCATTTTTTTGGTTGATTTTTCTTTGTTAAATGGCATTTAAATATATAAAATAAATATCAAAAATATAAATCTTTGTTTTACTATGGTTGCAAATATCAAAAAATTTCTATATGTGACACGGCACCAGAGTTAAGTTAGGGTTTTTCAAAATGCTCACACGCCGAGCTCAAAAGGTTCGCCATCACTGATTTATTGAGATGACATTGGTTAATAACATTATATAGGTTTCAGGTGTACAATTCTATAATACAACACCTGTCTATTGTATTGTGTGTTTACCACCCAAAGTCAAGTCTTCTTCCATCACCATTTATCTCCCCTTTCCCTTCTTCTGCCTCCCTCCACCTCTTTCCCTTTGGTAATCACTTATGTTTTCTTTTAAGAGTTTTATAGTTTTGGCTCTTATTGTTTAGGTGTTTGATCCATTTTTATTTAAATTTTGGATATAGTGTGAGGTAGAGGTCCAGCTTCATTCTTTTGCAAATGGATATCCAGTCTTCCAAGCACCATTTGTTAAAAAAGACTATTTTATCCTTATTGAATTTTCTTAGCACCCTTGTTGAACATCAGTTGTCCATAATATAAGGGCTTACTTTGGACTCTCAATTCTATTTCAGTGATCTATATGTCTATCCTTATGCCAGTACCACATTCTCTTGATTTTTATAGCTTTGTGGTAAGTTTGAAGTCCTACTTTTTGAAGCTGCTCAACATTTGATATCCCTTCTGAAGTGTTATACTTACTACCTACATAAGACATTGAGCATATCCTGTCTAATACCTATCATTGATCTTTGTATTTACCCAATTTCCCTGGGAAGATGATTAGTGCTTTTGAGGAGTAGAAAACATATCTTCCATATCTTTCTGGGCCTACGAATCTTAATCCTGGTAGCCCATTAAATATTCATTGAGTATAATAATGATACTCAATTGATTAAATTTTTTTTAATTATGAAAAATTTCAGACTCATGTGAAAGTACAGACAAAATTATAAAGAGCTCCCATATACAGTATACTGTATTCACCCAGATACAGTATAATGTTAATACAGTTTTACATAATGGCTTCATTTATCATCTCCTTTTCTAACTTTGCTGAAGCATTTTATTTTTTAAATCTTTATTGATGAGAATATTACAGATGTCCCCTTTTGTCCCACATTGGCCCCCTCCACCCGCTTTCCAGTCTGCTCCAGGCCTTCGCCGTCCTATTGTCTGTGTCCACAGGTAACGCATATATACATATAAGATCTTCGGTAAATCTCAGTCAGTGTGTGTAATTGTACATATTGTACATGTACATGCATATGTAACTGAAAAGTTTAATAAAACAATTCTTTATTATGTATGATGTGTCTTCATGTTTTCTATTCTATTTTATTTAAAATACGTTGGTTTTGACCCACTAGTTGATTTTTACCACCATCAAATGAGTCCTAGCATGCAGTTTGAAAAGCACTAGTTTATTGGCTAGTCCTTACAAATATAGAAATTAATATACTTCCTATTTTGTCTTTTATCTAGGTCTAGTACTTCTGTATACAGAAGACTGTAAAAATTTTAACTGTGAATATATATAAATATACTATGTTGAATCAGAAAAAATGAAAAAAGATGAAGTATATTAGGTGGTCCTACCACCTAAATAGGCACCTTCTTTGTTCCTGAAACATTATTTTATATGCTTTTTTCTGTATAGATACGCCGACATGAAATACACAAATCGAAGAATAGAGCACTAGTACACTGGGAACTCCAAGAAAAAGCTTTGAAGAGAAAATGGAAGAAGCAGAAACCGGAAATTTCTAATCTTGAGAAAAGGAGATTGTCTATCATGAAGGAGGTAATGCTAAACTGCAATATCTTTGAAAGAGAAGAAAGAGATAAATAGGTTTCTCTCTTTTCCCCCAAATTTGATTCACATTGGAGAGACTAGTAATTACTGTGTCCTTATACGATGAGCTACATGTGAACTTTGAAAAAAGCAGCAGTGACAATTTCGGCTCTACAACTTAGACTCTCTACTAGGAATGATACCTAGCAAATTATTAACTTCTCAGCCTAAATTTTCTTATCTTTAAAATGGGAATAACACTACTTGTCTGATTGTATTGTTATGAGATTTCTACAGTGATCAGCGCAGTCCTTGGCAAGTGATTAGTGCCTTGTAATATAAATACTCGTAAGCTGCCATAATTCTTTTTCTCAATTTACATGCAGTGCTGTTAGATTACTTTGCAAAAAATGTGTGCTTGTCCAACAGGTTAGTAAGCCACTTGTCTTTGGCTTAATTTTTGCTAGATGTAAGGTGTTTAGGTGAGGAATCAGATGTGTCAGAATAAACAATATGAGAAATAAGAGGAAACTGCAGCAAAAAGTCCATCTTTTACTTGGGCTGAAATCATTGTGAAAGAAATGTGCTCCCTTTGTAGTGTTTCTTGTTCATTGTTGAACAGTTGATGCTTGGCTGTCTGGGTGATCTTTCACTGAAGCTTTAAACCATACTCTTTTGGGGAATTCAATAGGTTTCATAGTGAAATATAAAAGTCTTGATTTTGTAAGTCATCAGGAAGAATTATATCTCCCAAATAAATGTTCACATGAGTTTATTAAAAGAACACTATATTAAGAGAGACGGGTTCTTTACAGATAAGTAACTTTTGATGATCTTGGACAAGTCACGTACATTTAAATGTGTGGTAATTCTTTTTTTTTTTTTTAATATATTTTATTGATTTTCTACAGAGAGGAAGGGAGAGGGATAGAGAGTTAGAAACATCGATGGGAAAGAAACATCGATCAGCTGCCTCCTGCACACCCCCTACTGGGGATGTGCCCGCAACCAAGGTACATGCCCTTGACCGGAATCGAACCCGGGACCCTTCAGTCCTCAGGGCGATACTCTATCCACTGAGCCAAACCGGTTAGGGCTAAATGTGTGGTAATTCTTAGTGAGCGGCCTAAGAACACACATCTGGCCAGGCAAAAAGGCAGCCCCTTTGAGGTGACTCTGGGCTTTTGTTTCTCCTCCCTAGTTGCTCTTGCTCAGGTCCTGAATTTCTCTTTCTTTCTTTCTTTCTTTCTTTCTTTCTTTTCTTTCTTTCCTTTCTTTCCTTCCTTCCTTCCTTCCTTCCTTCCTTCCTTCCTTCCTTCCTTCCTTCCTTCCTTCCTTCTTTCTTTCTTTCTTTCTTTCTTCCTTTCTTCCTTTCTTCCTTTCTTCCTTTCTTCCTTTCTTCCTTCCTTTCTTTCCTTTCTTTCCTTTCTTTCCTTTCTTTCTTTCCTTTCTTTCTTTCCAGATGTGGTAGGAGTAGGGATTGAAAGAAGAATGGTGAGAGAGGACGAGTAAAGGTTTTCTGTCTTCTTTCTGTAGTGCTACATCCACAGGTTCTCATCTCCTGTTTCTCAACCCCGATTCACATTAGAAGCAGTCAGGGTTGAGAACTGCTTAAAAAGGAACTATATCTGGACCCAGATATAGCTATACTCAGATGTTCTAAGTGTGTCTGGAATGTCCCATGTAGGTATTTTTTAGACTCTTTCTATGTAGTTTTAATATGTTGTCAGGGTTGAGAACCTCTGCTGTTAGTGGGATGTAGGTATTATACCTTGGAGGTTATTCCATGTTGGTACTGAGAATCCTATCTTTTCTTTTTCATGGCCAGCTAGTATACAGTTATACCACACTTAATTTATCCAGTGCTTTATTGGTGGACATTTAGGTTGTGTGTTAGAGTATATTAGAGTATGCTTATTTTAAGCTTCTGGAGAAACAAAAGATCCCAAAATAGAGTGATTTAAACAAAATCTGTTTCTCTCATTAAGCTTTTCAGAGGTAAGTGGTAGTTTGGTAGGGGCCTCTGCCTGAATTTTACATGTTCTTCATTATATGACTTCCATCTCTGAGTGCAGAATGGCTGTCTCAGTTTCCTTCAGCTGTATCCCAGTCAGCAGGAAAGAGGAAAGAGAGTGCATGCTACTCCTTTTACATACTAGCCAGAAGTTCTGGCTTATATCCTACCGGAGGCCCCGTGCACGAATTCATGCACTAGTGGGGTCCCTCGGCCTGGCCTGCGGGATTGGATCGAAACCACTCTCTGACATCCCCCGAGGGGTCCTGGATTGCAAGAGGGTGCAAGCCAGGCCGAGGGACCCCACCAGTGAACGATCAGGGCCAGGGAAGGATGTAGGAGATTGGCCAGTCGAAGAAGGACTGTGGGAGGGCTCCAGGGTATGTCCGGCCCGTCTCGCTCAGTCCCGATTGGCTGGACTCCACCAGCAAGCTAACCTACCAGTTAGAGCTTCTCCCCTACGTCATAGCAATTGGTCAACTGGTCAACTGTCTGCCCCCTGGTGGTCAGTGGACGTCATAGCGAGCAGTTGAGCAACCTTAGCAATCATTAGCATATTACGCTTTGATTGGTTGAATGGCAGACTTAGCATATTAGGCTTTTATTATATAGGACTAGAGGCCTGGTGCACGAAATTCATGCAGGGGGTGGGGCTGGTCCCTCAGCCCGACCTGCACCCTCTCCAATCCAGGAGCCCTCAGGGGATGTCCTACTGATGGCTTAGTCCCACTCCAGTCCCTTCACCACAAAAAAATGACAACTTTCTTTAAGCATTTTCAGGATGTCTCTTTCATAGGATATGACATTTCTTTCTTTTTTTTTATCCTCACCTGAGGATATTTTTCCATTGATTTTTAGAGAGCATAGAGGAGAGAGGGAAAAACAGAGAGAAACATCAATGTGAGAGGGACACTGTGATTGGTTGCCTCCTGCATGAGCCCTGACTTGGGCCCCAGCCAGGGCGGAGCCTGCAACCTAGGTACATGCCCTTGATCAGAATCGAACCCAGACCCTGTGATCGACAGGCCAAGATGCTATCCACTGACCCAAACCGGCTAGGGCAGGATATGACATTTCTTAGCCCCTCCAGCAGCGGACCTTCATTTTTTCCTCCAGGAGTGAGGTGGAAAAACCCTAGATTACCTTCTTGGATTCTTATTACCCAAGTTACCAAGAACACTGAGAGTGGCGTACGGGGAGCTTAGCCAATGAGCGTTTACCACCGCTGCTGCGAGCTGGCAGGCCCTGCTCTCTGTGGGCCTGCTCCATCGGCACCACGGCGAGCTGGCCTGCACCATCCATGGCATGCCTCACTGCACACGCAGTCTCTTCCTGCCCATCTGCGTGCACAGCCTCCTCCTCAGTGGTTGTGACTGTTATGGCGTCCCAGACAATTTGCAATTATCTCTTCATTTATATAGATTGGCCAGAAATCCATCATATGACCATTCCCACCTGCAAGAATGGTTGGGAAATCTAGCTACGTACTTAGACAAAACTTGGGAGTTCTGCTGTTAAAGAGAAAATAGAAAGAAAGGAGGAGTGTCTACCACCCACAGATCATTTCCAGCCTTGCCCAGTATAAATAATTTAATGAATGTCCTTGAATATGTTTTGGGGTACATGTATATTTGTAGGATAAATTCTTAAAAGTGGAATTGCTGAGTCAAAAGATATGGTCATCTGTTATTTCAATGTTGTTAAGTTTGTAACATCTGTGTATACTTGCATTTAGAGCTTAAATGGCTAATTAGGGATAGAAATTTAGTGCAGGGGATAATATAATTTAAGTTGTAACAATATTCTCAAATATTTCTAGAGTGGTATATTGGCTTTTAGTGTGTCCAATCCTTGTAACACTCCTATGGGCTAGGGGAGGTGGTCATATTGTCACTGGATGAGGACCTGTCCTGGAGTGAGACTGCCTGAGGCCACTGGTAGTGTGTGGGTTCTTGACTTTGTGCAGGAAAGATTTCACAACACAAGTCCAGGTGATTTGGAGGGTATATTTATTAAAACTGGGGAGAGTGAAAACAAAGGAAGGACTTAAGGTAGAAGAAGCAACAGGAGAGAGCCTAGGTGGTGCTCTGCTTTGGGTCCTAGAAATGTTAGAGGAAACAAGTGGGGCAAAGGCAGGGCTGCTGTTAGCTTACTGGAAAGTCAAAGAAAAAGGGGATCTCGGAGACAGATTCAGGAGGTAAGCCTGGGAATGGCTACTGCTGCCTGCTTTCCCCTGGTTGCAAGTCTTGTGGGGATTCTTAGAGTTTAGGAGAAAGGAAATAAAAAGTTCATGCCTGAGAACTGGCATGGGGGCTCTAGGGAGAGCCTGTGCTGATATCCTTTGTCTTGAGGATTTTACCTCTCTTTTGTGGGTGAGAACCTTAGGGGACAGTTTCAGCAGACTACTCATCAGCTTTTCAGGTATGTTTTTAATATGCTGATGCATCAAAATGAGCGTATAGGGGAGCTGGGGATTATTCTTTGGTCAGCTTCACTGTTATACTTTTATCTTAGGTTTTTCTGGCTTTAATGGGGTTTTTGTTATTTGTTCTCCTGATTTCATCCATCCTTGAATTTGACTGGCACAAATGGCATTAACTGGGTCGCGGTCCTCTCTCTCCCTGACCAGGGTGATTTAAGCTATGTATTCTCTGGTTTAAGAGGAGAGGTATACACCATTTGTTCTCAAGTGTCCTTGGTTAGGGATGATAAGGTCTTACGATTCACTAGCTGTCTGCAAGTTGTTGAAATTGTTTGGCCTTGTTTAGTCACCTTGTCTCAGGTTCCCCATTCCACTTGCTCAGGAATTTTCCTACCTTCTTACTATCCTGCCTTAGTATCTTCATTGACACATCAAGAAACTAAAGTTAAATAGATCGGGTTTTACTTAGTATCTTTTGACTGGGCCTAAGGTCCCAGTCTTCTGGCTCAAAATATGCTGTTTGTCTTATACCATTCCAAAGCTTACTCTTTGTGGAAAGAATAAATCCAGGACTGTGTTTTTACCAACTGAGCCATATCAGGGGAATTAGGGAAAAAAGAAAGAATGTGACTTATATTAATTTTCTCTGTGTCCTAAAATAGTAACCAAGGTCATATTATATACTTGTGTTCATGGTTTGAGCAGGGGTGGGGAACCTTTTTTCTGCCAATGGCCATTTGGATATTTATAACATCATTTGTGGGCCATACAGAATTATCAACTTAAAAATTAGCCTGCTATATTTGGTCAGATTTTTTAAAAAATATATTTTATTGATTTTTTACAAAGAGGAAGGGAGAGGGATAGAGAGTTAGAAACATCGATGAGAGAGAAACATTGATCAGCTGCCTCCTGCACACTTCCTACTGGGGTTGTGCCCGCAACCAAAGTACATGCCCTTGACCGGAATCGAACCTGGGACCCTTCACTTTGCAGGCAGATGCTCTATCCACTGAGCCAAACCAGTCAGGGCTGGTCAGATATTTAATTAACTCACCCCTAATGCCTTGGCAAGGCCAGACCAAATCATTTCTCTGGCCTTATGTGGCCTGCAGGCCGGATGTTCCCTACCCCTGGCCTAGTGAAGTTTTGGTAAGAGCATTTGTTACTAGCTGTCCTATAGATTTGGGCCAGTGCTGGAAACTGGACAGTTTCCAATTTTAAGACTCCTTTTAACTTATGAATGCCCTTTGATGGTGATAGGTAGAGTTGACCTGCTTTTACTTTAGCTTGTGTCCTTGCTTGTAATTATGTGGAAAGTGCATAATCAGAGGCACTACTATAATGGTATTTTTAACGTTCTTATCTCTCCAGGATAAAAACCCAAGTTGTTTATAAAAACGGAAAGAAGCATCACGTGTTTGTTTAACACCCTAAAACTCATATTTTACATCATGTTTTTTAAGTTGTGATTTATGAAATCACTTTATTGGTTGAAACTGCTGTGTTTATGGCTCAGAGATTCTTATCTTTAATCAATGTTTTTCAAACTGTGGATCACAACTTGTTAATGGATAATGAAATCAATTTAGTGGATTATAATCAGCATTTAAAAAAGTAGAACAGAAACTAAAAAGAATATATCAAATTTGTTTCCAAAGACTAAGATTAAATAGAACTTTTTGTGTGTTATATATTTACATTTACATGTGTGTATTTGGACACAATTTAATAATGTATTTTTCAGGATTGCAACTAAGCATTTGAAATCCACTAATTATTGTAATAGCCCCATCTACTGGTACTTAAGGATATCGCCAGTGAAGGATTTTAGTAAAGTAGTGACCTATGGTTATTTTTATGCTTTGTGCCTTTGTATGGATTTCTCCTTTGTGATTTGATAAGAATATATATATTCTGAATAATATTTATCATTTATATATGTAGATTCTTTCTGATCAATACCAGATGCAGGATGCATTGGAAAAATCTGATCATTTGATGGCTGCAACCAAAGATCTGTTTGTTGATTTTCCTCGTAGGCGCACAGGTAAAGTATTCAATTCAAACAAAAGCTTCTTTTTTTTTTTTTTTAATTTATAGGCACAAATGGCTATTTGGAAGAATTTAAAATATTTTTTTCAGGCATTATATTATTTATATTACAAGTATTCTAGAGTGGATAGCATATAAGAGTTATTAGGCATACATTCATTATAATTTGTTTGCTTTTCACTGATAATCTTAACTATTACAAATTACTCAACTAAGGAAAAGTAGTGTTATTCTCTACTAAAATATTTTGTGGTGCAGTGTACAAGATTTTATAATTTAAAATAGGACTTGATTTTTCGTTTATTAATATTAAGTTATCATATAATTGAAGTATCTGTTTATATGTAAGTTGAGTAAAACTTAATTTGAAATCTAAAGCAACATATCTCTTTCTGAGGGGAACTTCTCACCTCCTAATACAGTATTATTCATAATGAGTATATAATCCATTTTTTATTTTAATTCCTAAAAAGAAATAATTAATTTTTAGTTTAAGGTTTGAATCCTGGCTCAGCCTATTATCAGTGCGACTCTGGTCCAGTTGCTTCAGGTTTCTGAGTTTCAGTTTATTGATCTGTAAAATAATAATAGTAACAATCTCATAGGATTTTGTCAGGGTAAAATTATTTAATATATGTAAAAGCACTTAGAACTACGCCTGGTATATAGTAAGTACTGCATAAGAGTGAGCTGCTGTTGCCATAAAAGATTTTCATATCCTGATACAAACCTATGGAAGTGTTTCGTGCTTGTGAAATTACTTTAGTGAAATGAAACAAAGTCATCACGGCATTTTCCTTCTGCAGGGTTTCCGAATGTAACAGTGGCGCCTGATTCCTCTCAAGGGCCCATTGTGCTAAATCAAGACCCCGTCACCCAGGCCATCCTTGATGACTCCGCTGTGGAGCCTCAGGTAATGTGCTCTGCTTACAGCCAAAATGCTCATGCCGAAATTAAGTTTAAGTTGATGTAGGTATTGTGGTAAGCATTTCAAAAGCTTAAATGCCAACAAATACAAAGTTGTGGTTGTTGGAATTGTTCTTAATCATATTGCACCTTCTGTGAGTATAGTGTTTGTACTAAACTAGATAGGGCTGGATAATAATAGCTAACACATACTGAGCACTTACCTAGAGATAGACACTATTATCCTCATTTAGCAGATAAAAAAAACTCAGGTTCAGAAAATTTCTAAGTGACTTGTCCAAGATCACATAGCTAGTTAGCATCAGAGATGACATTCATATCTAGACTGCCTAGCTCCATAAGACTGCTGCCACCATCTGCCAGTATGGAAACAGCAAGGAGTCTTCCTCTTTGAAGTCAGTTGGATCTGTGTTCATATTTTGCTACTTACTAGATTTTGATCTTGAATTAATTTCTTAAGGTATCTGAGTTGGCTTAGAGTGTTTTTTTGTTAAATAGAATATACATGCTATGGTTGTTTCTTCTAATGTATTAGTATGTTTAAAAAGAGCTACCCAGGAAACTTGGCATTTATTGACTAGTTATATGGGACAATTATATTATAGCAGTAAAACATTAACTAGCTGTATCCTAACGTAATTAGAACTCTTAATTAATCAAAGTGTTTAGAATTTTGAGATAGTAAACATTTTTTAAAATCCCATGAAGCCCTGGCCAATGTGGCTCAGTTGGTTGGTTGTCATCCCATGCACCAAAAGGTCGCTGGTTTGATTCCCGGTCAGGGTCCATTGCCTAGGTTGTGGGCTCGATCTCTGGTAGTGGGCATGTGGGAGGCAGCGATCGATGTTTCTCTTTCACATTCATATTTCTCTCTCTTCCTCTCTCACTGAAATCAATTAAAACATTTTTTAAAAGCCCATGAAGAACTTAATCCTAAAATCAAACTCTGGCCCAGCTGGAGTGGCTCAGTAGTTGAGTGTCAACCTATGAACCAGGAGGTCATGGTTCGATTCCCGGTCAGGGCATATGCCCAGTTGTGGGCTCAATCCCCAGTGTGGGGTGTGCAGGAGGCAGCTGATCAAGGATTCTCTTAGATTCTCATTGATTTTTCTATCTCTTTCTCCCTCTTCCTTCCTCTCTGAAATCATTAAAGATATAAATAAAATGAAATAAATAAAATAAAATAAAATAAAACAAAACTTCTGCCTGGCCATTGTGGCTCAGAGGTTGAGCGTCGACCTATGAACCAAGAGGTCATGGTTTGATTCCCTGTCAGGTACATGCCTGGGCTGTGGGCTCAATCCCCAATGGGAGCGGGGTGGGAGGGGGGGGCGCACATGAAGGAGGCAGCTGATCAATGATTCTCTCTCATCATTGATGTATCAGTCTCTCTCCCTTTCCTTTTTTCTCTGAAGTCAATAAAGGTATATTAAAAAAATAAATAAAACTTCCTATGAATGATTAGGACTCAGTACCTGTTTAATGCAATTTCCTCGTTATTCATATCTTCTATGAGAAAAGGGAATCATCAATTAGAGGGATGATCCTAGGGAATTATAAGGTCCAGAATAATTAAAGACTTGTAAAGTACACTGTTTTCTTACAAAGACAATTCAATAGAATGTTACATATATTTTAAATAGCCAAAACCCATTACTATATCCCTAGGTAAAAACCATTTATATTTTGGCACTTATTAAAACCATAGCTTTCAGATAATCGTGGACTCTATCATGGGGAAAAGTGGCAAGAGCTGAGGTTAGAGAGACAGGATGGAGTTAGGTTATGAAAGTAAAAGTAGAGCCACTAAAGCAGGGGTGGGGAATGTCTGGCCCGAGGGCTGTATAAAGCTCTCGGAATATTTGGTTTGGCCCTGCCAAGGCATTTGGGGTGATTTAATGAGATGTTTGACCAAATATAGCAGGCCAATTTTTAAGCTGATAGTTTAGTATGGCCCGAGAATGACTTTATAAATATCCAAATGGCCCTTGGCAGAAAAATGTTCCCCACCTCTGCACTAAAGGATGTTGAGAACTGAGACATGATGAAATCGGCTGTCGTGTGGAAGATGGACTGGGAGGGACAAAACTGGCGAGAGGATCTGGTTAGAAGACTCAGGTTGGAGTCTTAGTGAGAAGTGGTGAGGACCTGTCCCAAAGCAGTGGCAGTAGGGAAGAAGATCGAAGGGAAAAGGGGTGGAATTGACAGGATTGGGTGGCTGATTGGGTGTGACAAATGAGAAAGACAAATAATTCCCAGTTGCTTGCTTGAGCATCTGAATGAATGGTGATACTGTTTATGGTCTTAGGTAATCTGGTAGGAATGACAGGAGAGGCTTAGGAGGATGAGCTGTTTTAGAGCTGTTGAGTGTGTGTATAGGATGATTTACCATTGAAATTTTTTAGGCATTTAGGTAGTTGGATATAAATGTCCAGGGCTCAAGAAAGATAGAGGATTGCAAATTAATAGCTTTTGACTTGTAATTGCAGCGTTGAGATTAAATACAGTCATTTAGAAAGTGAGTCAGATGAGAGGAGAATAAGGGTCCAAAGGAAGGACCTGGAGTCATATCAGATATGAGGGAGGGCTAGAAAAAGCACCAGTAAAGGAGATTGGGAAGGAACAGACAAGAGAATAGAAGAACCAAGAAAATACTGTATAATGGAAGTTAAAAGGAGGAGTGGATCAAGAAAGACATGAGTGGTCATTAATAACTCATTTCTCTAAATGAGTTAGAGAAAAAAAGTAAAGCAAAGACTGAAAAGTATCCATTAGATTTAAGAACCAGTGTTTTGATGTTGACTTGTAGAGAGCAGTCTGAGTGGAGTGGCAGAGCAGAGGCAAGGTGGCAGGGCATAGATGGCGAATGGGAGAGGGGGACAACTTGTTCTACAAGTTTGATTGTGAAAGAGAGAAGATAAATAGTAGCTTGAGGGGGAATAGGGTCAGGATAAGATGGGAGAGACTTGGTCACATTTAAATGTGGATGAGCTGAAGCCAGTACAGAGGGAGAGGTTGAAGGTGGAGGAGGAGAAGGGGAAATTGGTGGAGTGGAGGAGGTGGGAGGATTTGGGTTGTCAAACACATGGAGTAGCCTTAGAAAGAGGGACCTCTCTTCTGTTATGAAAAAAAGAAAAAAAAAAGGATGAGTGTGCATATAACCAACTTGTGTTGTTGTTCTTATTTTTATCTTGAGAAAGGCTCTTAACGAAATAGATGAAGAAGAAGAAACTGTTAACAGCCAGTCAGAGGAAAGTGAGAATGAGTTGGATAACTCTCTAAACTCTCAGTCTAACATGAATGCAGACAGGTATGTACATATGGCATGGGTATCTACAACACTCTTCTTTTTTTCCAAGGCCATTTTTTCCCAGCTTTATTGCGATATCATTAATATGTAATCTTGTGTATATTTAAGGTGCACAACTTGTTGATTTGATACATTGATGTATGCAAAACGATCACCATAGCATTATCTAATGCTCTATCACATCACATAATTACCATTTCTTTTTTATGGTGAGAGCATTTAAGATCTATTCACTTAGCAAATTTCAAGTATATAATACAGTATTTTTAGCTATAATCACTATGCTGTGCATTACCGGTAGATCTTTAGAAGTTACTCATCTTATTACTAGAAGTCTTTACCCTTTTACCATCTCCCCATTTCCCTGCTCCAGCCCCTGTTAACCATTCTACTTTGTTTCTGTGAGTTCAGCTTTTTTAGATTTCACATATAAGTAACACAGTATTTGTCTTTCTCTGTCTCACTTATCTCAATTGGCATAATGCCCTCAAGTTTCATTTACATTATCACAAATGTGGATTTGTGATAATGTAGGAATTTCCTTTTTTTTCATGGCTGGATAATATTTCATTATCTATCTATCATCCATCTATCTATCATCTATCTATCTATCTATCTATCTATCTATCTATCTATCTATCTATCTATCAATCATCTATCTATCTACCTACCTCACATCTTCTTTATTCATTCATCTGTTGACAGACACTTAGGTTGTTTCCATATCTTGGTAATTGTGAATAATGCTGCAATCAATATGGGACTATAGATATCTCTTTCAGGTCCTGTTTTTATTTCCTTTGGCCTTATACCCATAGGTGGGATTGCTAGATCATATGGTAGTTATATTTTTTGAGGAACTGCTGTACTGTTTTCCATAGTGGTGGCACCATTTTATATTCCCATCAACAGTGCACAAGGATTCCCTTTTCTCCACATTCTCACCAACACTTGTTATCTTTTCACTTTTTGATAATAACCATTCTAATGGGCATCAAGTGATACCTCATTGTGATTTTGATTTACATTTCCCTGATGATTAGTAATGTTGAGTACTTTTTATGTACCTGTTGGCTGTTGGCTATTTGTATATCTTTGTCTGTTTAGGTCTTCTGCCTTTGAGAGTGTGTGTGTGTGTGTGTGTGTGTGTGTTTTGCAGGAAACTGAATTAAGTTTCATTTATTTTAGGGCAAACTCAAAAGGGTTCTTTTCTTTTTTTTAGTAATCCCAGCACATTATTACAAAAAAACCCAGTCCCAAAACAAAATCCAACCTGCTGGGTGTGGGGACCATGTTTGTGAACACAGTGCCAACAGTACTATTTTGGTGGTTGATATTTTTCAGAGCATTTCTTTTTTCATTGCCAAAGATCATTGTTAGCAAAGTCCTGCGGGATACTACAAAGTTCTTACTAACTGTTCTTTAATGTGTGATATTATGCTTGATAAATCGAGGGTGGCTCTGCCTATTTTAAAATTCAGATTTTTAAAAATTCTTTATTGTTTGAAGTATTACATATGTCTCCCTTTTCCCCCATTGACCTCTCCCCAGCCACTCCCACCCCCAGCACATGCCCTCACACCCCTAGTGTCTGTATTCATTGGTTATGCTATATGCATGCATGCAAGTACTTTGGTTGATCTCCCCACCCCTACCCCCCAACTCCACCTTCCCTCTGAAGTTTGGTGTATCATATTTTTTAAAAAAAATATTTTATTGATTTTTTACAGAGAGGAAGGGAGAGAGAGAGTTAGAAACATCGATGAGAGAGAAACATCGATCAGCTGCCTCCTGCACATCTCCTAATGGGGATGTGCCTGCAACCCAGGTAGGTACATGCCCTTGACCGGAATCGAACCTGGGACCTTTCAGTCCGCAGGCCGACGCTCTATCCACTGAGCCAAACCGGTTTCGGCAGGTGTATCGTATTTATTGATTTGCGGATATTGTACCATCCTTGCATCCCCAGAATAAATCTCACTTGGTCATGGTGTATGATCTTTCTAATGTAATGCTGGATCCGATTTGTTAGAATTTTGTTGAGGATTTTAGCATCTATGTTCATCAGGGATATTGGTCTATAATTCTCTTTCCTTTTAGTGTCTTTATCTGGTTTTGGGATTAGGGTAATGCTGGCTTCATAGAAAGAGCTTAGAATGTGCCTTCCTCTTGAATTTTTTGGAATAGTCTGGGGAGGATAGGTTTTAGTTCTTCTTTAACTGTTTGGTAAAACTCCCCAGTGAAGCCAGCTGGCCCAGGGCTTTTGTTTGTTGGAAGTTTTATTTATTTATTTATTTTATTTTATTTTATTTTATTGATTAACGTATTACAAATAGTAGAACATTTGTCTTCTTTTTCCCCTATTGACCTCCCCCTGGCCTCCCTCCACCCCCACACATGCCCTCCCCCCCTAGTGTCTGTGCCCATTGGTTATGCTTATATGCATGCATACAAGTCATTTGGTTGATCTCTTACCCCTCCCCCCCATACTCCCCTGCCTTCCCTCTGAAGTTTGATAGTCTGTTCAATGCTTCTTTGTCTCTGTATATATTTTTGCTCATCAGTTTATGATGTTCATTATATTCCACAAATGAGTGAGATCATGTGATATTTATCTTTCTCTGACTGGCTTATTTCGTTTAGCATAATGCTCTCCAGTTTCATCCATGTTGTTGCAAATGGTAAGAATTCCTTTCTCTTTACAGCAGCATAGTATTCCATTGTGTAGATGTACCACAGTTTTCTAATCCACTCATCTGCTGATGGGCACTTGGGCTGTTTCCAAATCTTAGCTATGGTAAATTGTGCTGCTATAAACATAGAGGTGAATATATCCTTTCTGATTGGTGTTTCTGTTTTCTTGGGATATATTCCTAGAAGTGGTATTACTGGGTCAAATGGAAGCTCCATTTTTAACTTTTTGAGGAAACGCCATACTGTTTTCCACAGTGGCTGCACCAGTCTGCATTCCCACCAGCAGTGCAAGAGGGTTCCTTTTTCTCCGCATCCTCGCCAGCACTTGTTTGTTGATTTGTTGATGATAGCCATTCTGACAGATGTGAGATGGTACCTCATTGTTGTTTTGATTTGCATCTCTCGGATGATTAGTGACTTTGAGCATGTTTTCATATGTCTCTCGGCCTTCTGTATGTCTTCTTTCAAAAAGTGTCTATTTAGGTCCTTTGCCCATTTTTTTGATTGGATTGTTTATCTTTCTTTTGTTAAACTGTATGAGTTCCCTAAAAATGTTGGAGATTAAACCCTTATCAGAGATAACATTGGCAAATATGTTCTCCCATGCAGTGGGCTTTCTTGTTGTTTTGTTGATGGTTTCTTTTTCTGTGCAGAAGCTTTTTATTTTGATATAGTCCCATTTGTTTATTTTCTCCTTGGTTTTTATTGTCCTAAGAGCTATATTAGTAAAGATATAGCTACGACATATGTCTGCTATTTTGCTGCCAATGGAGTTTTCTAAGATTTTTATGGTTTCTCGTCTTATGTTTAAGTCCTTTATCCATTTTGAGTTTATTTTTGTGTATTGTGTAAGTTGGTGGTCTAGTTTCATTTTTTTTTGCATGTATCTGTCCAATTTTTCCAACACCATTTATTGAAGAGACTGCCTTGACTCCATTGTATGCTCTTGCCTCCTTTGTCAAATATTGATTGAGCATAGTGGCTTGGGTCGATTTCTGGGTTCTCTGTTCTGTCCCATTGTGCCAGTACCAGGCAGTTTTGAGAACAGTGGCTTTGTAATTTAGGTTGATATCTGGTATTGTGATCCCTCCAACATTGTTCTTCTTTCTCAAGATTCCTGCGGCTATTCGGGGTCTTTTTTTATTCCATATGAAGTTTTGGAGAGTTTGTTCTAGGTCTTTGAAATATGCCGTTGATATTTTAATGGGGATTGCATTGAATCTATAGATTGCTTTGGGTAGTATGGACATTTTAATGATGTTGATTCTACCAATCTATGAACACAGTATATTCTTCCATTTGTTTATGTCTTCCTCTATCTCTTTTTTCAATGACCTGTAGTTTTCCGAGTATAGGGATTTTTTTGTTTGTTTGTTTCTCTTTCTGTGAGTTCCTTATTGGTATATAAAGAAGCCATAGATTTCTGGGTGTTAATTTTGTATCCTGCTACATTGCCGAATTCATTTATAAGTCTAGTAGATTTTCGATGGAGTCTTTAGGGTTTTCAATGTACAATATCATGTCATCTGCTAATAATGACAATTTTATTTCTTTTCCAATTTGAAAGCCTTTTATTTTTTCTTCTTGTCTGATTGCCATGGCTAGCACTTCCAGTATTATGTTGAACAGGAATGGTGAAAATGGGCATCCCTGTCTTGTTCCTGTTCTTAGAAGAAATGGTTTTAGTTTTTGCCCATTGAGTACGATGTTGGCTGTAAGTTTGTCATATAAGGCTTTTATTATGTTGAGTTCTGATCCCTCTATTCCTACTTTGCTGAGAGTTTTTTTTATGAGGAAAGGGTGTTAGATTTTGTCAAATGCCTTTTCTGGATTAATTGATATGATTATGTGATTTTTGCCTCTCAATTTATTTATGTGATGTATCACATTTATTGATTTGTTCATATTGTACCAACCTTGCATCCCTGGAATAAATCTTACTTGATCATGGTGTATGATCTTTGTAATGTAATGCTGATTCCGATTTGCTAGAATTTTGTTGAGGATTTTTAGCATCTATGTTCATCAGGGATATTGGCCTGCAGTTCTCTTTTTTTGTAGTGTCTTTATCTGGTTTTGGGATTAGGATAATGCTGGCTTCATAGAAAAAAACTTGGAAGTATGCCTTACTCTTACATTTTTTGGAATTTTAATAAATAAAATAAAATTTTTTTTGGAATAGTCTGAGTAGGATAGGTTTTAGTTTTTCTTTGAATGTTTGGTAAAACTTCCCTGTGAAGCCATCTGGTCCAACACTTTTGTTTGCTGGACGTTTTTTGATTACTGCTTCCATTTCCTCCATAGTT